GTTGAGCGTTTCCCGCTGGGATTGTCTGTTGACCGGGGTTCAACAAGCGCCATTGAATATTGGACCGAGGAGAAGATAAAGGAGAGGGTGGAGAAAGAGAGAGGCAGCAGCATGGGAATATTGCATGGAAGCAGTGGCAGCGAGGTATACTCAGCAGGACATGAGGACAGTTCAATTTTGCAGTCTTTAGATCCGGTATGTGGGAACTTAGAAAATATACGTGACCTGAGTTTAAGTCAGTCTATTAGCAAGGTTGATACTTGAGATGACAAGACTTTATTTAGAAATGACCAGTGAGATACTGGCATTTGATAACAGTGAACAATTTTTTTGATATCTTCATTTACTGTGTATGCAGGCATTGAAGGAGTTGAGGGCTCGTTTTGTGAAGAAGCTTGAAGAAAGCCAGAGGACGTTAATGAAGGCTCTTGATGATGAGCTACTCAAATTGCAGATTGGATTGAACGCCAAAGTTAAGGGGATGGGGAATGAGAATGCCACTGCTAAAGAAGGGGTTGAAACAGTTGGTGATGCAGCTGGTAACGATGCTGAAGAAGCTGATGATGTTGACCGAGTGGTGGAGGAGATTGCAAGAGAGGTTGCAGCGGGAAGTGCAGATGAGGAACTTGATGAGGATGAAACCAGCAAAGGAGATGATGAGAAGGATGAGGATGAGGAACAACATGACCTTCATGACAGGGAAGTCAGTGATGATTACATGGTTGAGGAGGTGGAAGAAGAGGGTGACCGTGATGGTCATGGAGGTGATGACGACGACGACGAGGATGAGGAGGAAGATGACCATGATGACAGGGAAGGAGGTCATGTGGTTGATGAGGAGGAAGATGACCATGATGACATGGAAGTCAGTCATGATTATGTGGTTGAGGAGGCCGAAGATGATGATAAGGAGGTTCGGGATTCAGATGATGAGGGGGAGGAAGCTACACATGTACTGACAATGACCCCTACCAATGTTCCTTTGCTGTTGGATCGAGAATGGGTGAGCAGTGACAGTGGGGAGGAAGGAGGGCCTGAAAAATCGATTGACCTTCGGAGGTCAACAAGGGCAAAGAGTTCCACAATTAAATCTCCGTGGATAGAATTCAAGGCAGCTCCGAGGACGAAGAGGCCAAAGGAGGAAAGTGACATCTTTTTCACTTTAATATCCCGTAGACCCAAGGGAGAGGAAGAGGGGAATATGTAAGTATATCCGTAGCTAGTGTTTTGTTTTTAAATGACACAGTGTGCCCTGAAAATGACAGCAATAGGATTGAAAATGACAATAACATACATGGGAATGACAAGTATTGATGTCCCCAACACCATACTTTCTGTCACTGACATCTGACAATGTTTGCAGGACTGTCATCAAAATGTTTGATGAAGATATAGACCGACAACAGCTGTTTTCCCTGGGTGGAGTGAACAGAGTAAATAACAGGGTATTTAAGAATGCTCTGTCCCTGCACCCACGATTATGTTTGATAATGTTTGGTGAGATTATTGTACCAGAATGACGTTTTCACTTGTGTTCTGTAGGTGCTTAATTTGGTGTGCAAGGCAGTGATGGAGGACATGAAGGCAGAGTTGGGGCCAGGGAAGAGGCACATTTTCGATGTTGATTTCATGGTGAGGTTGCATAATTCCAAATGCAAATACCAATGACAGCAATTGAATTGGAAATGACTTGTTCTCTGTTAATGGATTAACAATTTCATGTCATGCAGAACATGATGGCACATGATCCAACCTGGAAAGCCCAAAAATATAAGAAGCTCTTTCTTCCTGAGTTCGTTGGCTACAACTTAGCTGAATGTGATTTCATAATTGGTCCTGCTCTTGTTGGCCAACACTGGTTTTGCGTTGCCATTCAGCCTAGCACATTGGATTTCCACGTAATAGACTCCATGAGGAACCATTTCGGAACCAAGGACAGAAAGCAGAAGAAGAAGGTTGTCATCAAAGACCCAGTGGAAATGGCTGTGGATGATTGTGTAAGAAAAAACTCATTATCTTTACCCTAGTTTTTGAACTTGGAAAATCATTAAACTTTCTATGTTGGTCCTGAATGTTGTTGCAGAGGAAGAGGCTCAATATTATACTGGACTTGGTCAAGCCAGGATTGGTTGGGAAAAAGCCAATGTCTCCCATGATATTTGCAGCAGTTCCCCAGCAGAATAACCTGTCAGTTTTGTCAAATTCGATTTCTGTGGGGTAAATGCACATGTCAGATGTGTTAACTAACTGTGCTGATATTGTTGCGTCCACAGGAGGGATTGTGGGGTGCACTGCATGATGTGGCTGAGAAGATGGGAACCTGGTGTGACCCTTACCTACACAGAGGAAGAAGTTGCTGGCTTTCGTCGTGACCTGACATGGTGGTTGGTCAATCATGAACAGAATGAAAAACGTGACGAGGCATTGGCCCTTATTCGACGACCACAACCAACCAAGAGCACAAAGTCCAAGAAAAGGCGTCGGTCTTAGGTGTCTCGATGTTAGGGTCATAATTCACTTGTCCTCTGTTAGATTGCTGTATGTAATGTGCATTGTAGGCTGACCAAAAATTTACTGTGTATTGTTATGGTTAACAAAGATTGGTGTCCATAAATGTATGATAGTTGAGAACCATGATGCCAATTTATTCCCCAGTGACATGAATGAATCTGGTTTTAACCACACAAAAACAGATGCTGACAACAACCCCATTGGACATGTGCTATTGGTTTTCATTTTTTGTTCAGGTCACTAAATTTTACTTCAATATATCCTGTTGGTATCCAACAGAAAATGACCAGAACAAAAAAATGATACGAAGTGAAGCGAATATGACAGCGATAATGACAAGGATCACCTGGTCTGATTTTACAACATCAGTTCAGCACGGCTGTCAGCTTATGCTGATAGCATCACTGCCAATGACCAGAACAAATTTAAAAATGACACGAAGTGAAGCGAATATGACAGCGATAATGACAAGGATCACCTGGTCTGATTTTACAACATCAGTTCAGCACGGCTGTCAGCTTATGCTGATAGCATCACTGCCAATGACCAGAACAAATTTAAAAATGACACGAAGTGAAGCGAATATGACAGCGATAATGACAAGGATCACCTGGTCTGATTTTACAACATCAGTTCAGCACGGCTGTCAGCTTATGCTGATAGCATCACTGCCAATGACCAGAACAAATTTAAAAATGACACGAAGTGAAGCGAATATGACAGCGATAATGACAAGGATCACCTGGTCTGATTTTACAACATCAGTTCAGCACGGCTGTCAGCTTATGCTGATAGCATCACTGCCAATGACCAGAACAAATTTAAAAATGACACGAAGTGAAGCGAATATGACAGCGATAATGACAAGGATCACCTGGTCTGATTTTACAACATCAGTTCAGCACGGCTGTCAGCTTATGCTGATAGCATCACTGCCAATGACCAGAACAAATTTAAAAATGACACGAAGTGAAGCGAATATGACAGCGATAATGACAAGGATCACCTGGTCTGATTTTACAACATCAGTTCAGCACGGCTGTCAGCTTATGCTGATAGCATCACTGCCAATGACCAGAACAAATTTAAAAATGACAACAAGTAATGCGCCATTAACAAAAGCTAACATCCCCATAACAGTAACTTCCTTTCATGTATTCAACAAGTGGACATTAAGATACTAGCCACACTTAATGCTCCGTTATCACTGAAATAACTATCAGCTTACTTACAAAAAAATGTCTCCACCTAGCTCCTAACTACAACCCCAGTCCCAAAAAAGTTGACAAGGGCGGAGCATACAACTATGTACACCAAAAATGACCCATCCCCACTGTACTCGAAACTTCATGATGGGTTAGGATTTCTGCAATTCCTCCTTGTGTGTCCAGGCTGGTGGCATCTTCCACAGTGGTATATCCGTTTGTTCTGGAACTGTGATTCATCCCTGTTTACTTTTGGCCTTCCTGGTGGTCGGGATGTCATGGGAGGTAGCAAGAAAACTTGCTCACTGACATTTTCTATTCTATAGTAGTCATTTGGGTGAGGCATGTCTGTTGTTACCACAGGAATCATACTGCGAGCATAGATCTTTTCTTGTGATGACTTTTTATAGCAATTATCAATATAATCATAAACATTGCCGTGCACAATCTTGATGGCAGCACAAGCATGGGAACAAGGGATCCCCGTCATTTGCCAAGATCTGCAACTGCATTGGTGTAGTCCAAGATCAACCCGATGGTCTCCACGTGATGTTGTCACCTTCACTCTTCCCCCACCATAATTTTCAGCATACATATGGTCAGACCCAGCCACCATATCCAGCACCTTACTCTCTATATTTGGACCAACGCAATTCTTCCATTTGGTCATACCCACATAGGAGGCATGCAGCTTTCTTGCAACTTTATCTCGGTGCTCATAGATCAATTGGGGTACAGTATGCTTTCTCTCATTCACCATCCATGCATTGAATGATTCTGCTATATTGGTTGTAATATTGTCCCATCTTTTATATGGGAACCTACTTTTAGCCCACCTATCTACATCCCCATGATGAATAAGCCAATCAAATAGCCTTGGAGAAAAGGATCTCATGTCATCCATTGCTGCCTCAAATTTCTCATCCGTCCTTGCGTATGCAATTTTATCCAATAAATATAGTGCATCCTCCTTTGATCGGCCATTTGTCCTTGTTTGCCCCTTATTCATTTTCATAACTTCTGAACTAAAATTCTCCTTGATGTGTCTATAACAAAAGGCATGCCTTTGACCCCCAAAGATTGATGCCACTCCTCCGATGATAGCATTGTGTCGATCTGATACAATCGTTACTTCCACAGAACCCAGGATTTTTTTTATCATATAGAAAAACCACGTCCAGTCATCTAGTGTTTCTCCCTTCACAATTGCAATTGCAAATGGCAGCAGCTCGTTATCTGCATCATAAGCTGAAGCTGACAACATTGTCCCCTTGTATGGTCCGCTTAAGTGAGTTCCATCAACATACATAATATGCCTCGCGCCACCCAGAAACCCTCAATGCATGCCCCGTAAGCAATGAAAACACGCTCAAACCGGTTCCCAATAGCAGTCCATTCAGCCACTGATTTTTCATCTGTTTCCTTTATCCTTTCGCATAGCCATGGTATGAGCATGTATGATTGTTCGGGCCTGCCATATATGTCTTCCAGTGACTTCTCTCTTGCTCTATAAGCCTGTTTATATGTTAGATCAATCCCATACTCTCGTTTCAACCTCTTCCTTATCTCAGAAGTGCGCTTGTCTGCATGATCCCTCATCTCATCAATTATTATTGATGAGTTCAAACTAGCTCTTCCACTATGCATCACGTCCAAGCTATCTTGGGCAGAATGAACATGCCGGTTTATAAATGTCGTCACTCGTAGCACATCACAACTCTTCCCCACATGATTTGCACATAGCTTCCATGGACAACCCTCAACTTTACACCTTATCGACATGAATTCCTTGCTATTCCTCATATACTTGGCCACAAACTTGTTTGCAAGTGCAAACTTGTATACAGACACCCGAAATACATCTGCACTAGGAAAACGTTGGCCCACTCCTGTTAAAAGTCCCCTCCATTCCGCATGAACCATCTCACTACCATCCGTATCTTCAGCTCCGATAGATTTATCCACATTAGGGGGCCCACTTATTTCATCATTGTCACATTCACGAGCATTTTCTTCACTGAGCCAGCCATAATCACAACACAAACTAATGGGAGACGCATCCAGTTCAGTTTGCTGTGACATGCCCATGAATCTCTCTGTTCTGCATTCATAATGACAAGACTCGTTAACACAAATGACAAGAAGAAATTCATAAATGACAACAAATAGTTAGGACAAACTCCACTTACATTTCTACATTGTCCCTTGGTTGGGGACCCACTTGTCTTTTTTCGGCGACATACACATGACCGCTGTTCCCATTGTATTGAAAGAGGTTATACATTTCAGCATTGTCATGAAGGTCAATCAATGTCTTCTCATCAAAGGCCACTGTGTACTTAATGTCATAATTTCTTCCATCGCCACCAATCCACTCAGATATCATTAGCCTCAATTCATCAAGTGTCAGCCCATCCTTAATGCTTCTTAACCTCACGCCACCTCCATTATATCTCACTTCACCTTCACCATTTGTCACAAATTTCCCCCCCACATGAAAATAACAGAACAGCTCCTTCCCACAAGATGACCCAGCTGCAAAATTCATTTATCTTCATTACCTGCACTGATAACATAACAGAAGTCGAATGATTATATGACTTAATACCATCATCATCAACTTACACGACCAACTTAGGGTTTGACACATTCATGCTTATAATTTGCAACAAAACAATCATTTCTTTCCTGTCCACACTAATGCTTCGTTTTCTCAGAATCAATCCACTCCATTATTCGAATCTCCCTCCAACATTGTCCATTTATCTGACACTAATCACTCTAACCCACTTGTGACGCCATCAAACCCCTCTCCCTCAGTGTTTTTCCTTCCCCCTGCATTCACCCTCTGATCACCGTCCTTCCCCCCACACTTTCTATATACCCACGCCGTCTCCATGCTTCGCCACCCTCTCCACCTCAAAACCATCCCCACATCGACGACATTGCCATCCAACGGGAAGAGGAAAATCAACCGGCGCATAAAGGAGAGGGACAAAAGACACAGGCGAACAATATAGTCACTGGATACTAACCTCGCTTCCGTCGTTCAGTTGTTGCTTCGCGCGTTCATGCTCCCACGTTCGTGGTCCCTCCCAACTTTTTCCTCCAGCTCCCGCCACAACTTCCACACTTCCACCGGTCACTTTTTCGGTTTGCATATGAGGGGCTGTTTTGTAATTGTGCAACATTTGCATAATCCCAAATCAGGCAACACTTCCCTATCTGGTAATACATTTGCTTAGCTTCCCATTCTGGCATTTTATTATTTCAGCCTTCTTTATCTGTCATTTTCCCAAATAAATATTATCTTATAAAAAATCAACTTTTTGAAAAAAATTTAGTTTATATTTTAAACTATTGGGAGTAATATTAAACAAGTACTATTGTAGGTGAGTATGCCCTTACCGTACCCTTCACAGATATGACTAAAAAAAATTAATTCTGTCCTTATTCATATCTGTGAATTGTGATGCTATAAAACTGACGATCATTATAGCCTTTAATTTGTTTGTCCGCATCTCACCCTGAATGCACAACAGCTGGATCCAATAGGTACCTCCCAACGTCTAGTACATAGGTTGCGTTCTCCCATGAGCTCCAGCATACATAATTTTATTCATATACTCGCATTATTTTTTCCCCAAAAAAATAGTTTAAGATAATAAATATATCAAAATATAAAGCATCAAAATATAATTTACGAGGCTGAAAATATTTGAAAACAATACTTTATGATCTGCATTTGCTTAAAAGATACCTCAAAATATTGGAGGCACCTTTAACTCATAATTCTATAAACATTATATATTATAAGGTATCATCATACGCTATCATGCTATTTCTCACTTGCATCATGGCACATCAAGTAGCTCCATATGATTTTTAATATCCTAATTTTATTTCTGGTTTAGGGTGTTGGATAATTGCAATCATCAGTAAAAAGAAAAAAATTCAAAATGCTCTATGCATTGCAGGTAAGATTAGGATGATAGCTATAGTAATAAATAAGATTAGAATGTTAGATGGATATGAAAAATGATATTTAAAGGAAAGTGCTAAACCTTACTTTACCTTTTATTTATTTATATTGTTAAACGATGAAACGCTTGAAATCTAAAATAAACAACATGCAAAACAATTTGCCTCAAAACCACTCTTTTGACAATTTGCGGAAGTCGACCCTCCTCTTCGTACCACTCAGATTGAAGTTTAACTTGTCGCTTCCCTTAATTATAATACGTGTTTATGGGTTTTTTTTTTTGTAATTGAATGAATGGTACTTTTCACGTCAGATTGTAAAGTGGAGTTAAATTCATAACCTCCCATTTATTAAAAGAAAAAAACTTACATGCCATGAGATGACAAGGTTGTGACCTAATTAAAATTTGATCATGTACTCAATATGTATGTTGGAATTTGAAATTTTGAATCACACATTTTATATATTGTCACGATAGTACTCCTTTATAGTTAGTGCATTGAAACTTTCCGTCCATAGGAACAGGGAACAGTTTTGTTTTGTTTTATTGACGTTATTTCTCCAAATTTACTCTTTTATGTTGATTCAGAGTTGGGTACAACTCAAGGCATACTTTGCAGTTTGCACTTTATTCCTCCTATCCATAAGTTCCAAAAATTATAATACTCCTCCGGTCCTTAATATAGGACTCAATTCTTGAGTTGGGTTTGGTCCTAAATATAAGACCCATTTCTCATATTTATCAATTTTCTCTAAATTACCCTTATGGATACTTTCTCAACATAATCAAGTAGAAGAGGGAGATGTGGTATTAAGAAATATGATTATGGTGTTTTAGGAAAATAAGTCACTTTTCTTATAATTAACTAACTTACCTAACTTCCTTAATTTAATGAAATTAGTTAAATGGGTCTTATATTAAGGACCGGAGGAGTATTTCTAATTACTTCCATTTAAGGGTCTGTGCGTATAATTAATTTCTTTAATTCGATCATTTAATTAGAAACTTATCTGACCCACTTGTCAATGTAATGTGGCTTGTAGTAACAAACTGATCCGAGGGAGACGATGACCTCTCTTTTTTTTTTTTTTGGCAACAACAAGCTTTTTTTAACTTGATTTTAATTTTTATTTATCGTGTAATTGACTTATTTCAGTTTGACTACGTTGACTAAGTTTTCCCCTAATTTCAATGTAAATTATAGTGTTTTTTTAAAAATGATATTGAGGTTTTGTATGAATTAATCACTATAATTAACTCCTCGGGTTGTTGCTAACCAAATCCTTCATCTACCTATCTCCTTTTTAAATCTTCCCGATGAATTAATTTAGAATGGCAACTTAGTGGGCACTTACCTAGTTAAGGTTGGAGTTAAACTTCATTGAGATATCCGTGATCATGACTTCCAAGCTTTGTCTGAGTTCTAGAATCCTTTATGGACAATTAATTTGCCTTACAATCAGCTGCTATTTATTTGGAAACTTCTAAAGAGAGCAATTCCTTCTAATGACTTAAGGGCACATCACCTTAATTGTTCAGACTCATGCTTGTTTGGATGTGACGTGGAAGAGACCATTGATCACTTGTTCTGCTCTTGCCTTTACACTCGAGCTGTGTGGTTTTGTTGTTTCTCAATCAGAATTTTTGTTCCCTCCTTTGATGAATTTAGAATTCGGGTAGTTTCCACCATTTTGAAACTTAGCAAGGATGGCATGCTTAATCTTGTAAGAGGCATAATCTGTCTGATCAATGCTATTTGGAGGAAGAGAAACATAATGCTTTGTGAAGGAAAACTAGATCCCCCGATCTCTGTCATTCAAGAAGTTCATCATCTTGCTTCATTCTTTGATTTTGCTTATGATAAGTTCCACACACCACATTCCTCTAAGCCTTTCATTCCTCAAAACACTTTGATTCTGTCTAATGAAAGACGGGACATTTTGCTTTTTAAGTACAAGCGTTTAAGACAGTACTATTATCACGGTGTTATTTGCTATATATGAAGGAACTCCCTTAAAAGAATTCCTGTGAAAAAAACAAAGGTATTACAGGTTCAGCTTTTCATTCCAAATTTTTCAGAGCTGCTCTTCTTTGGATCGAAAAATCTAATGTGGGAAAATTTGCTGACAAACCTTCCCTTCATATTCACTGTGTGAAGAAGAAGTTTATCTGCGTCCCTATCAAAAGCCATTCTACTCTCAATATTACCTAGCAAAAAAATCTTGCTCTCATTCGATTGTTTTCTCTATCCAATTTTTTGTGATGTCTAAACCTAGTTTTCTAGGTTTCAATTCTCTTAATATAGGTTTATTAAGTTATCGTAACTTGTGAGGATTCTCATTACATATAAATTTTCTCTCGTCTTTGGTTCAAAAAAATCAATATAATTCACAAACAATATTTTACCTTAAAAAATAAAAGTAAATATTATAAATTAAAGAGCATAGCCATCCTGGCCAGTGGCCCCTAGACTAGTCAAAACATACATTCCTAAAATTCAACAGCCTAAGGAAAGGAGTATTAATTTGGTTCTTACCTTAACTTCTGGCTGAATCCAACTCGATAAATAAAGAAGTTTAGCTTAATTACCAAAAGAAAACCAAAGAAAGAAAGGGGAAAAAAAAAAAGATCTGGAGGAAGGAGGCGTGGTGGCCAAATGCATTTCAGTTATATGATCTTTAGGCACTGGTAAGTTTGAATTTGAACTCTCCTAATTGATATGTATATAAAGAGATGTAAAAGACACTTCCTTCTATATCTAAATATGTTGATGGGAAAATCATACCTTTGTTTTTAT